CGGTGCAATTCTGCTTTCTGAACAGTGTCGGACTTCTTGGCTTTCAATGTGGTTTTGCAATCTAACAGAATGAGACGAGATAATCATACACAGACGAAGGAGAGAGGAGGGAGATTAGACAAAGAAGAGGAAAAAGATACAATGCCCACTCCTGCTTTGGGCTCTCTCCTCCAACACCACTTCAATAATCGACAGTCTGAACGAGTATCTGAAGTATCCTCAATGTGCCACGTGGCACGTGTAATTAGTCCCTCGTCAGCACTGGAGCAATGTCAACATGAAGACAACTAGGTACGTATTCACGATCTCTCCACAGTCATGATCTTCCTCTTCCTCGCAAGCAGTCACCTCATGTAGACAGCGTGGACAATGCTACGTCATAAATAAGACAGGTGGCGATGCCACATCATCAATGAAGACCAATAGCAGCACCACATAGACCAGAAGCAGCGCCACATATACAGAGGCAGCGCCACGTCGACCAGAGGCAGCGCCACATATACCACAGGCAGCGCCACGTCAGCATGCCATGTAGACCATAGGCAGCACCACATATACCAGAGGCAGCACCACGTCAGCATGCCATGTAGACCATAGGCAGCGCCAAATCAGCATGTTTGGCGTACAATGCCAGCGTGCTGCCTCTCCCTCGTGTCGACGTCTGCAACTCTGATTCACAACCAGCGTCGCACTAGCATAATGCCAGCGTCAAGTCAAAGTCAAGCCAGCGTTGAACCAGCATAGCAAGACTGAATGCTGACCACCTCGAGGTCAAACTTGAAGTAGTGTTTGACGAGGCTCTCTGGTCTCGAGTCTCCTCGCCTCGATCGTCCAGATTGAGTTACAGCCGAAGGCCTGGATTGTACAGTTGCAGAATTCCCCCTTGGACTTGATGTTGTCTGGGTAGCTGCATACAAACAAGTGTGTGTGCTTGACCTGTGGCCTGGACTCGATACCTTTGGACTTTGACTGTTGGGGTCTTGAGAGTGGACAAAAGTCAACTGTGGCACACCCAGGCCCTGAATCCCTGTGTGGGGTCCCTTACCTCATTTTGGGCCTGGCTGAGGGCGGCCAGGTCGGCCCTCAGATTTCTACGAGGCATATGGCATGGGTTATTGCATTCACGATCTCTCCACAGTCCTGATCTTCCTCTTCCTCACAAGCAGTCACCTCATGTAGACAGCGTGGACAATGCCACGTCATAAATAAGACAGGTGGCAATGCCACATCATCAATGAAGACCAATAGCAGCGCCACATAGACCAGAAGCAGCGCCACATATACCAAAGGCAGCGCCACATCAGCATGCCACGTAGACCATAGGTAGCACCACATATACCAAAGGCAGCGCCACGTCAGCATGCCACATAGACCATAGGCAGCGCCACATATACCAGAGGCAGCGCCACCTCAGCATGCCATGTAGACCATAGGCAGCGCCACATATACCAAAGGCAGCGCCACGTCAGCATGCCATGTAGACCATAGGCAGCGCCACATCAGCATGCCTGGCGTACAATGCCAGCATGCTGCCTATTCCTCGTGTCGTCGTCTGCAACTCTGATGCACAGCCAGCGTAGCGCTAACATAGTGTCAGCGTCAAGTCAAAGTCAAGCCAGCATTGAACCAGCATAGCAAGACTGAATGCTGACCACCTCGAGGTCAAACTTTAAGTAGGGTTTGACGAGGCTCTCTGGCCTCGAGTCTCCTCCCTTCAATAGTCCAGATTGAGTCACAGCCGAAGGCCTGAATTGTACAGTTGCAGAAATGCCCCTTGGACTTGATGCTGTCTGGGTACCTGCATACAAACAAGTGTGTGTGCCTGAGCTGTGGCCTGGACTGGGTACCTTTGGACTTTGACTGTTGGGGTTGCGACAGTTGACAAAAGTCAACTGTGGCACGCCCAGGCCCTGAATCCCTGTGTGGGGTCCCTTACCTC